GAGGATGGGGAGGCTGGGTGTACATGGCCTTCAGCTCGGTCTGGTTTTTAGTATTCACGGATTACTGTATCTATTGGATACATCGTTGGCTGCACCATCCGTTGGTGTACAAGCCTCTACATAAGCCGCATCACAAGTGGATCAGTGAGTCTACTGATCTGTCTTATATTTCGTTAGGCTGACTTATCCATTTCTTAGTTCCTACTCCATTTGCATCGCACGCATTCCACCCTGTAGATGGATACTTACAGTCTGTCCCGTACCATTTATATGTCGTGCTTTTCCCTATGCATCGGCTTCTATTCCTCGTCCTATTCGTGGCGGTCAACTTCTGGGCCATTTTTGTAAGCAACCGACTGTCTAATCTATGAACTGAATTTAAAATTTTCGTAGATTCATGATTCAGACATGATCACCGGACATCCACTCGAGAATTTCATAAATGGTCCAGCCCATCATACATTACACCACATTTATTTCACTGTCAACTATGGGCAGTATTTCACCTGGGCTGACCGGACAGGAAACTCGTATCGACACCCTGACGCGACGCTAGACCCACTGCTAGAGGTCAAAATGCAGGAGAGGGCGGTGAAAGAGGGAAAGACCAAGCTCGAATAATTTGTGCTTGAGTGGGATGCGATTTTCAATAATGGGGCTTTTGATGCTAAAATTTAATCAGTATTGAGCGTTGTGCGCGACGCCGTATAAGTAAAAGATGTATCTATTTCTGCAGAACAGCAGTATTATCATCTCTAATAACACCTATGTATTCTGCACATATTCCAATGCCAATAGATCCTTCTCGGCTAAGGAATTTAAAATAACAGTTCACAAGAGTCTAATCAGTACTTAAGAAATCACTCAACTTCTCAGTCCACCTAATTTCTTCCATTGGACACTCTACGCTCCACGAACTCTCAGACTCCGGTCTCTTTGTGATGATGTTTTGGTCGTCCTCGCGCTTGCAGGTCCGCTTGCCCTTTTCCGACTCAGGTGTTCGGCCCCGCAGTCTATCTTTTCCATCGTCAAGCCTTTGTACTTATGCAGACAGAGAGTTCACACATTGTACCACTTACCGACTCGTCGAACTCTCAGGTGTGTGTATTTCTGTATAGCTACCTTGCTGACCTGCTATACAGTGTACCCTAACCTCATATTGTATCTTTGTATTATCCTCCCTCGCTTTCTTACTTCCCTGTCCGTCAGTTCACATGTTTCTTAGGGTGCAGCTGCTGTTTCAGAGCTGCAACCGTGTCCGCCTGAACTGCGACCAGCGAGCATTAGAATCTAGATTCAATTTTGTATACGTAGATATCAACAACAACAAATACTGCCACGTTTTGACGCGAATTACTTACACGTATGACCATACCTTAATCTACAGACCAAGATGAGGACGCGTTCTCATTCCAAGTCACCTCTTTCCTGGTCGTTATTTACCCTTCTTTCTGTGATACTTTCCGCATTGGTTCAGCTCAGCTCAGCCGGCAAGTCTGCATCGAGCACTGGTGATTCGGTCCTAGTCATTCTTGAACCCGAGAAGAAAGCAGAGTATAGCATATTCCTTGATGGACTGGAAAGTGAGAACCACATATCATTCAACTGGACATCAGACTAATTGACCCGGCTTTAGAGAAAGGATACACAATAACGCTTCGTGCACCAAAGGAAGAACATCCACTACTCATCGAGGACGGGCTACCAAACTTTTCGCATGTAATATTGCTTGCTTCTGATACCAAGAGTTTGTCTTATTTTGGCTCCACACACAATCTTCAAAGCTGATCTATCTACTGCAGGCTTTGCAAAAGATATTGGCCCACAATCCCTTGTGCAACTTCTTTCACTTGGAACAAACCTCGTTTTAACTCTCGGCCTCAAACAGAACTTGCTAACCTCCCTCGCCCCAGAGTTCTCCTTACTCCTCCCACCGCCAGCAACACCACTTGTCAGCTTTTTCCCCGAACGCTCTGACTCTCCGAATGTTATTCCCATTGACGTATCAAGCCAATTCATTCCCAACGATACATTCTCAGTCTTGTCTTCTCAAGTAACCGGTAAAGTGTGGTTCTCTGGGACACCTTTCGCCTTGAACCCCAACCCTCTTCTTTTCCCTATCCTGCATGCCCCAGCCGAAAGTTTCGCCGCTGACATGAGTGACGCCAGCGGTCTGGTCTCTGACGCGCTTGCCGATGCATCTGAAAAAGGTGGTGAGGGTCTCTGGGCTGGTTCCTCCCTCTCTGTCGTCGCCGGATTCCAGACCCTGATTGGCGGAGGTACTGGACATGGACCTGACGCTGGCCCAGGAGAAGACAAACAAACTCGTGCGGTTTGGGTAGGCGGTTCGTCTCTCTTTTCGGATGAGTTCGCCAAGAAACAAGTCGTCGAAAAGGTCATACAGGAGCGAGGTATGAAGGTCGTGGAAAATCCTTCGGGAAACAAGCAGGCTGCCTTGGAAATTGCTGGTTGGGCGTTCCAAGAAAGGGGAGTGTTAAGAATCGATGAGGTTACTCATCACAAAGTCAACCAGACAGGGCCAGTAGAAATGTATACCACCAACGATGAAATAGTGCGTCTTTACTTTGACTCCTCACCGGGCAGCAGCGGCTGAATGCGTTTGACAACAGGTTTATACCACCCGTATTTCCTCGTTTAACCCTTCAACCAAAAAATGGGAACGCTATTCGGGGCTGAAGGACTTGCAACTTGAATTCACAATGCTCGATCCTCATGTTCGAACTGCACTTCTTCCTGTTAGTGGAAAGCCAGGTGAAATTCCTTTCTGCCCCTTCGGCCTTTCGTTCAGTTTCTCACCATCGTCTTCCCTCTCATGCAGGCACTTACTCAACAACCTTCCGTGCCCCGGACCGACACGGTGTATTCAAATTCGTGATATCCTATCAACGCAAAGGATTTACTCACTTACACCATACACTTAGTGTTGCCGTAGTTCCACCTAGACACGATGGGTACCCGAGATTTTTGAGCGCCGCATGGCCTTACTACGCAGGTGCGATCAGCACGAGCGTTGGATTCCTTCTATTTTGCGCGATATACGTCGCCGGCGAGGCGAAGGAGGAGAAGAAGAATAAGAAGGAATAAATCGGTAGATCGAACCTGTACGTAGCTTATCTGTGATTTGGTGCTAACACCATTTGCTTAAAATGTCTTCTCAGTACTGCATCACTGTGTATGGAAGTAATTTATTTGATTTTGCTTTCCAGAGATCATGCTCCTCGGACTTCATATTCTGTGTGATTGTGAGCGCGTCACTGATTCGCAGACTCTAATAGTAACAGATGAATGGATCCCCTCTGCGTACCTTCTGCAACGACGATCTTCATCTGTGTCCCTAGTAACCGATAGAAATGTTCTGAGAACGTGATATCCGTTCAAACGGAACTGTTAATCCCCCTCAACTATGAAAAGGAAAAGCAAGGACGTTCAAATACGCTGCGGTTTCTACACTCTAAGCGCCGTCGTCGTTGGGGTCTCGATGTTCAACCTCACAACGGCACCCAGCGCAGAGTAAACAACAGACGTTCTGTGATATTCATATCATGAATGTTCTTCATATTTCTTTCCCTGAATTCGTTCTTAATATTTTCCTTTTTCCTAATGCTTCCTTCAATTTCTCTCAGCACATTACTAGTAATATTTGTGGGTGAGTATCTTGATAGGCGACGCATTTTTCCAGACTGAAAGGTGGTATTTGATATTTATCAGGGAGAGCTTTCTCTCAAGACACTGGTGTCACGCTCTGGCAATTTGGAACCCTGCGTTTAGCAGCTGGAGAGTTTACTGCTCCATTGCGCCCCATTGGAACACCGGTCGACGGGCTTTCGACCACATATCTCTACGAAGTTTTGAATCCTGTCACGACAGTGGTAACCGATGCCGGTTCCCCTGAACTCACGACCTCTGTGGTTTCTGGTAAGTCGACATATATCCGTAACGCCAGTATCACTAACTAGCACATGTACACATGTATGACATGACGGCAGTTTCCCGGACAATCGTCGCATCCGCATCCGGATGGATCGAGAACTTCGATTCAACTGCTACTATACAATGTAACTTCCTAAGTTCGGATACAGGTGAATGCTTCGACGCAACTGATACAAATACTGGCGCCCCTACTCCCATCGTTATTGGAGTAGCGGCAGCCATAACAAGCACGCCAACTGAAATAACAACAACGTTCCTTTCAAGTACATTAACAATACCAGCGACCTCAAATTCAAATCCCATCATGTCGCCAACAGGTTCCATGTCCACATCTGCAAGAGGTTCCCGCAAATCATCAATTGGAGCAATTGTTGGTGGTACAGTCGCGGGGGTTTTAGTTGCAGGTCTATTTGTGATTCTGATATTCTGGCTGCTTCGACGGCAACGACGTTCAGACTCATCAGAGGCTGAAAAGGGCAAGGGATCAAAGTGAGTTATTACTGGAAGTGGTACATCTACAAGAGAGAAATGGCTGATGAACCTTCCACAATATTTGAACCTGTGTAAGACCTTTTCCGTATACTCTCACTGCCCCGACTCGGACCAAAGACCTTCCCTCTTTACCCTCTCAGCCAGGTATTTTTCCCAGTGGCCAGACGAGCACTGGAAGTTCGCCAGGAAAGGTATGTTCCCCAGTCGGTTTTCCTCACCTCGTATCGTACCGTGTTCAATCATATGCGAATTTTTCTCGCACACAGATAACAAATAAGTATGACCTTGGAGATTCTAACGGGACGCAACTACGACAGCAGGCTCAAGGTGCACGGGAGGAACTTCATTCCTTACAGCAGGCATCTTCGGATGAGGATAATAGCCACGAAGCAGTAACGAATCTGCGGGGTAGGATGGCTGAGGTGTTGGAAAGACTAGGGCGGTTAGAAGAACAAACGTCGGGCGATGAGCCTCCACCGAGCTATGTGTAAACACAATCGAAGTTGTAATTGATCACCAATCAAAGTTGTAATTAACTGTTAGCGATAATGCTATATGGTCTAGTAGTGTAGAGGTTATCACATGGGATTTTGATGTCAACTTCCCATAACCCAGGTTCGAGTCCTGGCTTGACCTCTTTTTTTTAACTTCTACCCAATCAGTCAGATGTTGACGGCCTGAGCTAGCGTTGAAGGGTCCCTAAGGGTATCATTGGTCAAGATTAGGCACAGTCTCTAGTGGAGATGAGAAATATTGTAAATCTAAATCTAACACAACGCAAGCCCCTTTTCCATCCGTCCGACATCCGAATGATATCCGATGTCTCCGGTTTTCGGTACAGAGGATCTTAACAAACCTACGCCGAATTTCCGCGGAACACTCCCCGCAAATTATCCCATACAACACGCGGGCTTTGGGCCGCATCAATACCATGCCAAAGACCTTTAGCTTTGTAATATTCTGCTACGGGACCAGTCTGTTAAACCCGTGAGCTCATGAACGCATCTCACAATAACCAGTGAAAGAACACTGTGCGCCCAAAGCAGAAAAGGTGCGTAGAGCAGAGAAAAATACATGAAAGAGGGAATATACTCACCTGCGAGTGGTAAGTCTTCAATCTTTTCTGTAATGTCTCGACGTTATCATCTGAACGTTGTATCAGGGGCTCTCCGGTAACGTCGTCCACCATTGGCTTCTTGGGAGGGCTGTCAAACGAGGACCAGGGTTAATGGGATGTCAATCTATCGACAAGTGGATTGTCACTGACTTGAATTCGCGGTGATACGTCCGTCCACTGGCTGGGTGGATTAATCTTCCGGTAATTCGCGAGATGAGTAGACTGTCGTCAATCAAGAGCTGAACGACTGAATCAAGTTTTTCGCCCCGGTGTTCAAGCATACCGTCCAGCTTTTGAGCTTGAGGAACGGTACGAGGGAAGCCGTCAAGGACGAAACTGCATTTAGAATTATTTTGACGACTTGTACACGCCAGTGTCAATTGTTTACTCACCCATTTTTGCAGGCCTTGTTAGTCTCTAGTTCACCTTTGATCATTCCAACCATGACTTCATCTGGGACCTAACTCTTCGCTGTAAGCGGTTCGGTGATACGAAACAACCAACATAACAAACTCACTAGACCTCCTTCGTCCATGATTTTTTTGGCTTCCAAGCCAAGCTTGGTTTTATGAGCCACCTGTTCGCGCAGCATATCTCCAGTAGCAAGATGGCATACGCAGAACTTGTCACGGATGAGCGGAGCCTGTGTTCCTTTACCTGGATATTCAGGGGTTAGCCACTGTCTCTCATGGATTGAATGTTTATGGCGTACCAGCTCCAGGAGGTCCCATCAGAATTGTCCGGAGCTGGACCGCAGGCGAAGGCTGCGAAGATGAAGCCCTCTGCTCAAGAGCTTTGATTTTGTCGTTGAGTTGTGCAACAAGGGATTTGAGATATTCAAGTTCGGAGTTCATATTGGTTTGTGAATGGTGAACGCGAGATGAAGTACAATTGAGATACAGCCAAGTTCAGCACAGCTTGAAGACGAAGTCTTGAGACCGGAGCGCAAGCAACACAAGCGGTGATACAGTAGTTGACTTTTAACCCGCGTTAGGTACACGTAGATTAATGTTTAGGTAAGCTACTGATCGGATAACGGAAAAAAAAACGAATTTATGAAATGTATGAGAGTGCATTGTCATATGGAAAAGATATTCAAAGATAGATCGAAGCAATGCATTGTGGGCAAGTCTTAAAATTACTCCAAGGCCAAAGGAGCAGGTAGTTGAGGAAGTTCCTTGTATCGGAAAGGCTGTCCCATCCACTTTAACAAAATAACCGGATTCCAATACCAGTGCTGTCGGAGTTCCTGAAGTTTGTGACAATCCTTCACTTCTTCGAGGTCAATGATATCAATATGCCTGCAACAAGGATGTTAATATCGACAATCAGCATTGAGAAGTAACACGAACTCGTCTTTCAAGTGAAGAATCAAGCTCGAAATACTAGTCGTTTGTTCTTTATGGCAATAAGCGCAACATATGGATGAGCATGACTCGCTCCTGATACTCGGTTCAAAGGCAACAATGTTCTTCCCTTCTTCTTCACCAAGGTTGTTAACGTTTAAATCATGTCCGGAGTCGTGGAGTATCTAAGATGTTGATTAGAGTGTTGTACATGGTCCTCAATGAAGGTTACAATGCCTACCGGGAGCGGCCATCGCATGAAATACCGACCAGCATCCCAGACGTGCGGATCTCGTTTGCAAGTTAGACATTCAATAAGCGGATTAGCAGCGCATATGTCATTGTATGTTGTCGTGGTAGGATCAACAGAACATGCTTCGACGATTGTCCTCGCACGATTCGAATATCTGTCGCTGAAATCGATTGAAGTAGACGTCCAGGGACCATCGCAGATAAAAGGCAGGACACGTTCATTGTTGAGTCGAAGATTCCGATTATGTATGCAACAGCGATGATAGAACATCTGAGGATAGTACAAGGGGTTCCCATAACAAGCCTTGCATTCGAATACTGTCGTCGCTAGATGTAAGTCGTCGGCTGTAGCTGTAGGATGGGATTTTTTCATAATTTCCACCAATTCCTGTATTTTTGCAGCTCTCCATTCGGCGATGATGCCGGGCAAATGTTCGAGAAGTTTTGAGCGAATTGTGGCGTCAGTCAAGGCTTCGTCTTCAGGGGTGTCCCATATCAAGGCTTCGAAAACTTTATTGACGAGGATGTCGCCAACGGTTGGGAAAGGATTTCGGAGATCATACTCCGAAAGAATGACATTGTAAATTTTCTGAAAGGAAGAAACGCGAGAAGACAACAGACGGCTTCGTTCTTGAGCCACGCGTGCCGCCTTATGATCTGAAAGAAGTTTCACCAATTCGTCTTTTATATAGTGCCAACCTTAAGAGAAAATTGTATGATAAAGCATCAATAGTTGAATCGCGTTCTCCGTACCATGATCGGTGAGTTTCTTGGACTGCTTAACTGATTTGTGGTTGCTAAATGGATCAATATGATGGAAAGGACCATCCATGATTTTCTCAGCTTCATCGCGCCATCCAATCTCATCAAGTCGAGTCAGGATTCTAAAGGATAAAAAACATATAACAAGCGTGTCATGAAAGGCAGGTTTTCGACTCACGCTTCCTTTCTTTCCATTCGTATATCATTGAGTTCATCGGCACGATCTTCCAATCTCGCCCTGTACCACCTTTCACATAATTCACTGTGCTGTAAATTCGATTGAGATAAGGATGCAATGTGACATGATTAAGCTCACCTTCGTAATGGCTAGACGTTCTTCACTCTTACGAGTGAGCCATGCCTTGCGATCATCCTCCGTCTCAAGTGCATCATATTCTGTTTTGTGTCGTTCTGCAATCTCAGTGTGACCAATTTGATCCCGTCTATGCGCTGAAAAAATTTGCATGTCAAACACAGTCTTATACATAGCAAAAGTGTGACTAACACGATCTTCTCTTGACCGACTCTCTTGGAAGGATGTCCAAGTGTCGGTATGCTGCGCCCAGAGGGTGGTCGCCGTAGTAGGCATCGTCAATCCAGGCTGAAGGAAAACTGAAATAAAAGTTTAAAAATGTCAGATCCCAAGAAAACACAAAGAACCTACGTCCATAAGCATTTCCTACACGACCTCATGCGAAATTTCCAAAGTATGGTCTCACGACGTCCGGAGTGCATACAGATCTGTATGAAGTCAAGATTCGGTATTAGTTCACTCTATAAAATGTGCACTCACATGGCAATAAGACTCGAAAAGAAGGTGTGCATACTGGGGCTCATTCAAATCGACCGGACAGGGCGGCAATCCTTCTACATTTCCACGGGCAATACACCAAATGCTCTCCGAAGATTTACTCATTAGAATGCTGCGTAAATCTTTCGAAGTACGTGCTAGACGTAGCAGGTCTCCTGGGTCAAGATAACAGAAAACCTGCATCAAAGAGGTCAATCATTGTGACACAAGCTATTGTCTATCTTTACCTCGAGGATCACATCCAATGGAACATCCTTCGCCAATCTCTCCAACAGTCCCAATCTTCCTCGAACTTTCCTAAATTCTTCTGGCATGCGCTGCCTCTTTGTGCTCGGTTCGGGAGGTTGCTCGCCTGTACCAGATAAAGGGACACTTGACTTGGCAGAGACTGCCTTCTTCGATCTCTTCCTTCTTCTCTTCGGTGACTCTTCGTCGTCACGGTTGTCGTCGGGGTCTTCGTCATAATCTTGATTGTCCTCTTCATCCCTTGCACGTTTGAGACCTCCAATAGAGTCTAAGACTGTACCAACAGTCATTTCGTGCATTTGAGGTTCGCCTAAAGCGTCCTTCTTCCCCTGAAGCCTTTCAGAGCGTCGGGCCATAATGTGCGAAATATAAAGGACTGAGAGCGGAAATTGGATTTATGTCTGGCGTCCGCGTGCAGTGACTCATAGGGTTATAGGTCACGTGAGTATTTACGCAGCCGACGCGTAGGTTCACGCGGTGTTCAGGATTTCCCACATCAGCGCTTGAGAAATTCTAGAGTAAAAGTATGCTCAGAAATCAATTGAAGCAGTCTGATCTTCCTCTCCGATGTCTAATATTTAATATGAACCTTATTTACTGCTCGTTCACGAAAAGCCCCGCTACTCCCATTCCACTAAAGTTACCCATACTCATGACAAACACTTTCTCATTATCGTGCTTGGCAATATTTAGACCTGTGGCAATCAGGCGCGCGCCGGCTGATAAGGAAAAAAGTGAGCGCTAGGGGAATGAAACGAATGAATTTGTAAAGTACTCACTGCATCCAAGAGGGTGCCCAAGAGCAATCGCACCTCCCCAGCGGTTAACCTTACCATGCAACCCTGGTTCATTCCAAGGAAGACCGAGTTTTTCACAAGACCATAGCGCTTGCGACGCAAATGCCTCATTGATTTCGAAAAAGTCGATATCAGACATCTCAAGGCCAGTTTTCTTGAGAAGCTAAAGAAAATATCAGCAATGGTGGTAATTTCCAATTTGTGGTTATCCCAGAATTCGGAATGAGCTGCTGAGTAAAAACTCACAAGTGGAATGGCATATGCAGGCCCGACACCCATAATCCTAGGGGGAACACCGACCGCCT